AACAAGTTTATAAAATTTGTATGCACCTGTCATAAATCATGAGATGGGTTGTCAACGAGAATATCAAACATAAATATTGTATTCCTTCTACATTGCTGAGACCCCATATTTAGAGATCTAACCTTCTCAACCTACATGTCAGTAGAAAAATTTTCAAATCGCATTCTCCACAGGCTTGAAAAAAAAATAATGCCTCTAGATTGAAAAGAAACCATCTAATTTTTTTATCAAAATGTTGAAAACTCAAATTTTCAATCTTTTTAGTTCTTTTTAACATAGTAATCTAGTGGCTTTTAGGTAATTCCCAAAAAAAATTATCAAAAGAATCTTCCTGCAGAAAATATTTGATTGATTAAAAAATAATGATGTAGAACCTTTAAATCTACAAAATGAATCGACTAATTAGTCAAAAAATCAATGAAAATTCTATAAAGCAGAAAAAATTCAACTCAAGGTCTTCCAAAGGGGTGAATGAAATGGTAGAAGTTAGTTCGATTGGTTCAATATCGATGAGCCTAGAAAAGAGGGACCACAAGCGGGAGAGATTTTTTAGGTTATCAAATGATACATGCAAGAACTAATGAACGATTTTAACAACTATTGATTCTAACAAATAAGATAAAAATTGATAGTCTTTGATTATTATTTTTTCAGCACCTTTGGTTGCTTTGCTACTTAATCTTATAGACCAATGAAATACTTATGATTTTTGTTTGAAAGAGTAAGTGTATAGTATACTTCTGCTGGAGTTATGATTATATTAACATTGACACAAGTTTCTCTTTCTTTTTATTTTTTATTTTTTCAGAGAGAGCGAACCCACGATTGTTGAGGAGACAAAACCTTGGACCTTGCTGGCTCATTTCCTTTGCTTATTTAGTAGACTTGCTTGGGATGGTTTTTAAATTAGAATCACCTCACTAGATCATTATTTTTTTAAAAAAAATTAAATTTTGAGTTTTTTATACTTAGATTTCGCCCTTCAAAAATTATATGGTCAATCTTTAGACATTATTTTTTCAAGGGCATATAGAGAGCAATTTGTAAATTTTTAATAGAGATTAATCTATGGGTGAAAGAAATTACATCTCCAAAATTTGAGGTCATAAAATAACTACAAACTGTAGGGATAACTTTAATTACAATGTCATACCTAGTATTATTTTATAGAAAAAGTTTATATAAGGTGTCAACCTTATGCTGTAAAACTCATGGGGAAGATTGTTTCATCACGAAAAAACCCTCCAACTAGAAAACCCTCCAATTGATCATTTTGACTTTGATATGTATTGATATAAAAGAAAAAATGAATTTCAAACATTAAAAATAATACATTTTGTAATACATTATCTATACCATCCATTGTCAAGATTATAGAGTATTTATAGATCTGCATCATATTTGGAGCTTTCAATTTCATTATAGGTGTGATAAATATATTTTTAGACCATCACAAGAGTTTCCAACATAAAAAGCGCATCTTTTAACAAGATTTAGATGCGTACCTTACCGTGATTGTTTAAGGTTAATACCTTATAAAACCTTACCTTTATTTTATTTTTAAATTTTCTACAAATTATCTTGACGTGAAATCAGGGTATTCTCACTCCTTGCAAGGGCGTACTCAGAAGGAAAAAAAAAAAAAGCAATATAAATCAACTAAAATATCCTAAAAAGTTTTAGGCAAATATAGGTCGTTTGTTTGATCAAAAATATTTTTTATTAATCTTGTCAAGTGCACCCTATGAGAAATGGGCACATACCAAATTTTATGCCAAAATAATTTATAAAATAAAAATAAAGTATCATGAACCATCCGATCAAAATCAGATGCTAAGAGGCGAACTTGTGACATTGTAATTAAAGCTATTCTAACCATCTATTCAAATACGACGTATGTGCGGCCCCACATGCAAAGGATTCCAATTAATGAAGGGTGGCATACATTCCATGCATTAAGCAAATGGATCGATAAGTAACCTTTCGTCTCTTTTACTTACGAGTGAAGGCAACATGGTTCCTATCACCTTGTCTAAGCCAAATATCCAGATGTTATTCTTATGGAAAAAGTTTATATAAGATTGCAAGCTTAAAATGTAGAATTACATATGCACCTAAAAAATCTATCGGAAAAAATTATTTTAATATTAAAAAAACCTTTAATTGATCATCTCGATATTGAGATGTATGAATATAAAAAATAAAATAAAAAAGGTTTTGAGCCCAAGAAATAGTGCATCTTGTAAGACATTATCTAGACCGTCTATTTTCAAGATTTTCATGTGTTTATAGCAATGTTCGTAAAATCGAACCGAAACGGTTAACCGGTCATAAGGCTGGGAACAGTTTGAACCGGAACCGGAACCGGAATAACCGGTCAAGTAGATTTTTTTAAAAAAAAAGGGTCAAAATCCCCATAAAAATTAAAAATAAATAGAAAAACTTAGATTAAGTATACAACATCATATTACATACATTTATCTTATAAAAAATTTTGATACAACTTTTTATATAATTTAATAGTTGAATATTATGAAAATATACAAGACAATTTATAATTTCACATAAATTTAATGGGTAAAGTCCAACTAACAATGGATGATGCAACAATATATGCTTCTATATTGTTTTAATGTTGATGTTGAGAAATGTTATTTTAATGTTGAAAAACCTTTTAATACAGTTTAGAATTGGGTTTGAGAGCGGAGTTTTTTGTAGCATGACCTCATTTACTTGGTAACTTGGTTATCAAATGCAGGGTGTGGGCCAAGGTGTTCAGTGCTGCTTCCAATAGCCAAATCGCATATTTTAAAAAAATATGGCCAAGTCGATTTTCAAATGGCCAAATCGATTTTGAAATGGCCAAACCTCACTTACTCAGTAACCTTTTGAGTTGGGTTTTAACATGAAATAAAAAAATAAAAAATAATATATATATATATATATATATATATATATGATGGCAACTTTAAAATGTAGAATTAAGATGCATATTAAATAAAAAAAAAAACAGGTTAAGCTTTTATCCATTTCAACATGACATGAGGGATGAGCAAAACACTTTTTAGTTTATACCTCTTTTCTTCATAGAGGCTAATAAACATATTTAAGGCGTATGAAGGTGCAACAAATGATAGATAGC